CTCGACTTTTTACACATTTAAAACAAAATTTTCATTAGAAATATAAAAGTGATTGAATCGTAGGAAAAACGGTTGGGAAGTAGTTTGACCGAATTGATTTCACCAAAAAAATTGTTTTGATTTTTAAAAAAAAATTATGCTGATGTGTCAGAGAGAGGAATATTGACGTATCATCCCCTTCTGAGACACAACCCACTATTTATATAATAGACTAGATGATGACCCGCATGTATACACAGATTTTATATATTTGATATTTTTAACATTTTATTTTAAATATAATAGTAATATAATTTTGGATTTGCTAACTATGTAAATATATAAATATTATTTGAATGAATTTGTACATTCTTTACTTATAATTTTTAAATGTTATTTTATACTAAAAGTTTTTCCTTGAATTTATTTGTCTTAAGTTATATATAGAGAAGAAAAGTTTATTCACTTTTAAAGAAATTATATATTAAAAAATAACTTAATTTTATTTTCTTCTAAATTTTACATTTTAATCTTTAGTAGTTAAGCCTTCTTTGGTGGTAGATAAGCCTCAAGATCAATTCCATTAATTACTGAAGCGTAGGAAAGATTGTTTGCTTCATATGTGCATTTATGTATCCCTAATGATCTCAACTTATTCTCCATGCTAAATGTTTCTACATGATCTGGAATTTCAAAACAAAAAAGAATAAACAAAAAGGCCACAACCGTTCTTGCACTGAAGCATCTTAGTATATATAGTAAACGAGCCAAAACAATCAAACAATATCCATTACTACGATGATTGTGTTAATGAGAGGTCTGATAGTCAACTTCAAGTAAAACTCGCCTGCTTGGCTTTGGTCAATTATGTATGTATCTTTATCAGATGAGTGTGTTTGTACACTCTTTTTCTTTTGCAGATCAGCAACTTTTACGCAGTAATCCAGACGCAATAAATGCATGCGCAGAATCAGGCTTCAAATGCTTTGTAATTTTGCAGCAAATATTATGGGCAATGAGCCCTTGTGATGTTTAAGGGAAGAATCTTCAGTTGCCAACGTGACTTTTGTAGGTTTTGCATTGCATAGCTCCTCGACATTTGATCCATACCAAAAATAACAGACACCTATTTCTGAAATTGCCAAAACGTACAACCCTTTCTCCTCTGTTTCACCCCAACTATCCACAAAGACGGGAGGATGCTCTAGGGCAAGGACACAACTAGCTGGCTGCTTCCTAGCACCTTTTGTTTTCCATACTGCAACATATCTTTCACCAACTGCAGATGAGAGTATGTATTTCCCATCCTCGGTAAAAGTCATACAACGCACACCTCCCTATATAACATGAAAAACTGTTAACCACCATCTAATGTTTGAAACAGAAGCAGCCTCCTAACAATAAAATATGAAAATTACAAATTGATACAGGACTAAGTGGACGGTCAGGATCTATCGTGGGAATGAGCGGCTGAGATTAAAAGACTGTCACAAGCATATTAAGTAATCGAAGAGAAAGAAAGAGAAATCATCAGAAAAGTTGTTACGCATTTTCTTTTTCTTCCCTTTCGTTAATTTCTTTGTAATTCTCTCGAGGATCTTAGTTTGCATTTGAGATTCTTGAGGTTTGTTCAGAATTCTTTGTTTCTATGAACATTGGATTCGATTTCTGAATAAAATCATCATTCATTTTAGTTACATTTTGTGCGTAACAAAGGTATCAGACGTCCAACAATTCTCGGAAGCGATGGCAGTGGAAACACGATCTCAGGCAACGACGAGTGACGACGATCAATCGATTAACTCGCGGTTGGAGCAGATCCTTCGATGTCAACAAACATTGGAGACCAGAGTCACCGATCAAAACGCGACGATCAACGAACAGAATGCGACTCTCGCGAAAATCACTGCAGATCTATTCGAAGCAATTCGATTAATCTCGATGTAGAGACCTACTTCACCGGCTCAAGCGCAATCTAATCCTATTTATATCAACGAGCAAGGCCAAACCTCTAGATCCGGTAACCCTATGAACTATGCTGGAATCACTAGACTAGCGAAACTGGATTTCCAGAGGTTTAATGGCGCTAGGTTGAAGGATTGGTTGTTTAAAGTAGAGCAATTCTTTACTATAGACCTTACAACAGATGATCTAAAAATCTCTATAGCATCAATTCACTTTGATGACATTGCGGCAACTTGGCACCAATCGCTAGTTCAGGATGAGAGTGGAACTCTGAATCTTCAGGATTGGAATAGTTATAAGCTGCTGCTAACTGAGAGATTTGGTGATGTGTGGGATGATCCTGCTACTGAGCTGAAAAAGTTAAGGGAAACTGATGGCATTATGGATTATCACAATAAGTTTGAGCTGATATGAACACGTGTGAAGTTGTCAGAAGCTTATGTAGTCAGCAACTACTTAGCCGGACTACGCACTGATACTCACATGCATGTGCGCATATTCCAGCCTCAAACTGTCAGACAGTGTTTAATGTGGGGAAGGCTGTACGAGACGGCTCATCCACAAAAGAGCACGGGGTCAACTTGGTCTAATGCTAAGAATCCTCAAGCGGGCAAACGGATTTTAGCGACGCCAATGGAACCGGATACTAAGTGGCGTAAACCAGCTTTAGTTGACAAAGCAAACGAGCAGGGATTACAACCGAAACCGTTTTTATCACCAGAGGAGATGAATGATAGACGGTCTAAAGGCTTATGTTACTACTGTGACGAGAAATACACTCCTGATCACTACAAAGTGTATAAGAAGACTCAATTCTATGTCATGGAAGTGGATGAAGACACTGAGGTTGAGGAAGAGATGGAGGAAGTAATAGAACCTACTGGTGAAATAGTACAAATCTCTGTATGTGCTATCTCCGGGGTCCCAGAGTTCAACACAATGAAAGTCAAAAGCATTCATAAGAAGAGATCTCTGTTTATGCTGGTTGATACGGGGTCAACACACAATTTTTTGGATCCGGAAATAGCTGCAAAATTGGGTTATGAGGTGCGTAGTGGGGGTAATGCTAGAGTGCATGTGGCAGATGGCAACCGGTTAGATGTGTAAGCTAAAGTGGATCAGTTTCAGTCGGACTTTCAAGGCGCTAGTTTTACATAAGACTTTATGGTCATACCGTTGAAAGGCTGTGATATAGTTCTGGGAGTTCAGTGGCTCAAACATCTCTGAGGGCACTGCAATGGAGAAATGTCGGGTGGAGTATGGCAGCAAGATGCGGCTTCTCTGTAGCATTACCGGAAGCGAACGTTTTAGAGTCGAAGGGAGAGGTTTGTGGGAGTTTGGTCTTGAGCTTTTCACCACGCGTCTCTGCTTGGCCTCTCAAGTTCGTGACAAGGTTACTGCTTACGTTCTAGGAATGATTAGAGATCAAAGGTAACATAATGATTAGAGATTAGTGTTGGATATATATTATATCTATACTCAGTCCTCTTTGTCTTTTTCGTTTGCTCATTACCAGATCAGGCAAGTCTGTTGACATAAGTCCGATGAAAAGAGTTATGGATATGTTTAAAGGGGGGCCTTTCTACAAGTCTCGCATCTTTGAGAAAACTTTTCTTGAAGATGCCTACGTCGTCGTATTGCTGACCGGAGCCAGCCGCTTTCATCAATGTAACGGCTCGCAATGGCTCTCTTCGTTTCTCAACTCTCATCTTCAATCCAGCATTCTCTCCATTTTCAATGCCACTCAATTCCATCACCACTGTGTCATGCGGCGCAGGAAGAGCCACCATCAGCTGCGATTCCGGTCCCAACGCCACCTGTTCCTCCGAATCGCCGGCAGTCCAATCCAAATCTCTCTGGAAAACTAATTCCAGATCCTCTGCCGCAGACGGAGAAGATGACGTAGATGGAACCGGCGATGGAGATCCCATCGGATTCATCGACGGCATTCTCAATACTCCATTGGGTGTGAATCGATTTAAAGTACATGATTCAGCTTCAATTGAGCGTGAATTGATCTCATCATCAACTCAACATCGTCATTGCATTGGATAGGGGTTTTAAAGATGAAAACTTTAAAGATTGAGGTTTGGAATGAATGTTGATTAAACCGAGGGAGGAATCAATTTATTGTTTAGATTGTTTAGTGGAAATAGCAAAAATGAAGCGATAGAGATAATTAAATCATGAGGGGTGATTTCGACTTATCATCTCATCAAAACCCACCTCTCTCCCAAAGTACCTTTAATTGTAATTATAAACTTTTAAAGTGCCTTCCAGCATAATAATCTATATAATATTTTATTTTAAATATAATATTAAAATAATTTTGTAATTTCTAACTATGGTAATATGTAAATATTATTTGAATTAATCTATTCATTTTTATTTATATTTTAAATGTTATTTTGATTTATTTTATACTTAATTTTTTCTCCAAACTTTTTTTTTAAATTTATAGAGAAGAAAAATGTTTTCATCATTTTTTAAACACTACTAATTTCTTTAAATTGCGTTAATTTTTTATGATAATTTTATATTATTCTATGTATATCTTTTAACAAATTTTAGTGTTAATTTTATATTTATTAGTATATAATTAGAATTAAATAAAATTGATGAAAAAAACTATTATATGTTAAATTGAAATTGATTTTATATGCTTGTCCGTTACATGATAACTTACATATATATCTTCAAAAGTTGTGTTTATCAAAATTGACTTACGTATACCCTCGTGTTTATTAAAATTTATATTCCATCGTGAATTATCTTATATATGAATATACATATGAGAATTAAATTTAGTAACAAACTCTGCTTGATTTCCTAATTAAAATGTTAACCAAAAAAAAAAAAAAAGTATAGTTCTTTCCACAGTTTCATTTCTATGTTGATCTCCTTTCTTAGCCATTTCTTCCTCCCACCACAATACATAAATACGTAATTGGCTTTTCTCATGATAAAAAAAAAAAAAATCATACTTTGATATTATCAATTTCTATGACAATTTAAGTAAACATATTTAAAAATATTAAAAAAATAAGCTGAAACATTTAGAACTGCATCTTCAACATAAACAAGTTGATAATTTAGCATATACTATAACCTTTTTCGAAAAGAAAAAAAATGTAGCCCATTATATATGTGATTCCTGCACATAGAGTATCCTACAAAGACCAAAGGTTAAACCTTTTTATGAGTTCCAGCACAAACGCAGACAAACCAAACATCAAAGATGGTTTTTACCTCTGGCTCCACGACTACGTTTCCTGCCGGAGCATCGTTTTTAAGATCATGGGGCCTTACTATAGTATAGTTAGTGCTGGATCTTTTGATATACTTCTCGGCTTGAAGCTTTGCGACCAGAGTTAGTCCAAAGACGTTGAGAAAGATGTAAGCTGGGTTCAGAATCTGTCCCATCGCAGCCCCATTCACCAAGATTGAGCTTATAAGAACAAACCTATCAACTCCTTGTTTACGGCACATATCCACCAGATTCACCATCCCGAAATTATCAGTCTTCCAAGGATCGAAGAGATCAAACCCGGGACAAAACCCAGTAGCACAAATCACAGCTTGATAATCATCACCTATAACTTCAGCCAGCTTCTCAGGACCTTCTGTCACGTCTGCTCTAACTTGACAAGATATAATCACAGAGGATTTTTTTTAAGAGAACCTAACAGCGAAAAACATCGGATTTAAGATGAAAGAACATACAAACTGAAGAGACGGGTCATCTTTGAAAGATGTTTTTGTTTTCTCCACATCGCGAACACCGGCTTTGACGGCAAAGCCATGGGACAACAACAGCTCCCCAATCCTCTTCCCTGTTTTTTCCAGTTGCTCCGGCTATAAACACCTTCTTTGACGTCTTTGCTGCATTTTCTTCACTTGTTTCACCTCTTTCCATCTGAGACACAAGCAAATTAAATAATTAAAACTCTGAAATCTATAGTTGAAAATGTAGATGCTTTGAATTACTGAGATCTTCGGTTGTAAATGAAGAATACTGAAATATTTACCGTATAATAAAATATACGGTATGTTAGATTTTTCTTATACAATCCCCATCATTAACCAGAACTATTGATTTGTTCACAACCTTGTTCACAATCTTGTAAGACTCAAGTTTCATGTCCTTCTGAACATCCTTGTCGTCGAATCTGCAAACAAAAAAGAAGAGAAATTTGTTAGTGCAACATTCCATGTAAAGAAAGAGAAAACGGTAATTACTTAATCCTGATCAATCTCTTGACATTGAAGACAGTCCTCTCAGGATTAACAGCCGCCTGATTCTTAGCAGCCTCACCAATGAGCCTCTCGAAGTCTAATACGGTTTCCTTGGTCGTTGGCAATGAATTCAACATGGCCATTCTTGTTGACACCAACACAAGAATATGTTGTACCAAGATCTATCCCTATCACTGATCCAAGCTTCCTCGCCTCTTCCTTCGCAACTGAAACATAATTCCAACCATCAACAAAATACAGAATGAACAAACCAAAACACTATCCTTCCTAATTCTTTCTCCAGTCAATGCTAATGCACGGATCAATATAGATAAATCGAATAATACATTAAACAACATCATATCCCAATCAATGCACTATGAATTACTGAGGTAGACGAGATCTAATCTGAGAAAGCAAATCAGTTAAGTGCAAAACATATTGTTTAAATTCACGAAATATCACATCAGATTTAGATCAGAACCATCATACATCGACCCAGAAACATTCATGAAATCAGAAACATAAGAAACACAAAACGTAGATTTCACTCATGATAGAGATCCAGGGATTGATCTAGAAATTCATGGAAGTGGTTTGTCTTTGTAAGCGTTGTATCGACAGAATCAAAACAACCAGAACGATCAATGCTTTATTTGAACGACATTCTATAGACTTTGAAAAACCAATAGAAGAACTCACGACATTGTGATGACTGATGCCTCGGATCGTGTCCAAACCAAAGACCTAAACACATAGTCCGAGAAGAAGAAGTCATGCCCATGTGAATCTCATGGCTGAAATCCTGATGATGTCTCTGCAGCAGTGGTCTCGTGAATGTCATTGCTTCTCGACTTTTTACACATTTAAAACAAAATTTTCATTGGAAATATAAAAGTGATTGAATCGTAGGAAAAACGGTTGGAAAGTAGTTTGACCAAATTGATTTCACCAAAAAAATTGTTTTGATTTTTAAAAAAAAATTATGCTGATGTGTCAGAGAGAGGAATATTGACGTATCATCCCTTTCTGAGACACAACCCACTATTTATATAATAGACTAGGTGATGACCCGCATGTATACACAGGTTTTATATATTTGATATTTTTAAAATTTTATTTTAAATATAATAGTAATATAATTTTGGATTTGCTAACTATGTAAATATATAAATATTATTTGAATGAATTTGTACATTCTTTACTTATAATTTTTAAATGTTATTTTATACTAAAAGTTTTTCCTTGAATTTATTTGTCTTAAGTTATATATAGAGAAGAAAAGTTTATTCACTTTTAAAGAAATTATATATTGAAAAATAACTTAATTTTATTTTCTTCTAAATTTTACATTTTAATCTTTAGTAGTTAAGCCTTCTTTGGTGGTAGATAAGCCTCAAGATCAATTCCATTAATTACTGAAGCGTAGGAAAGATTGTTTGGTTCATATGTGCATTTAAGTATCCCTAATGATCTCAACTTATCCTCCATGCTAAATGTTTCTACATGATCTGGAATTTCAAAACAAAAAAGAATAAACAAAAAGGCCACAACCGTTCTTGCACTGAAGCATCTTAGTATATATAGTAAACGAGCCAAAACAATCAAACAATATCCATTACTACGATGATTGTGTTAATGAGAGGTCAAATAGTCAACTTCAAGTAAAACTCGCCTGCTTGGCTTTGGTCAATTATGTATGTATCTTTATCAGATGAGTGTGTTTGTACACTCTTTTTCTTTTGCAGATCAGCAACTTTTACGCAGTAATCCAGACGCAATAAATGCATGCGCAGAATCAGGCTTCAAATGCTTTGTAATTTTGCAGCAAATATTATGGACAATGAGCCCTTGTGATGTTTAAGGGAAGAATCTTCAGTTGCCAACGTGACTTTTGTAGGTTTTGCATTGCATAGCTCCTCGACATTTGATCCATACCAAAAATAACAGACACCTATTTCTGAAATTGCCAAAACGTACAACCCTTTCTCCTCTGTTTCACCCCAACTATCCACAAAGACGGGAGGATGCTCTAGGGCAAGGACACAACTAGCTGGCTGCTTCCTAGCACCTTTTGTTTTCCATACTGCAACATATCTTTCACCAACTGCAGATGAGAGTATGTATTTCCCATCCTCGGTAAAAGTCATACAACGCACACCTCCCTATATAACATGAAAAACTGTTAACCACCATCTAATGTTTGAAACAGAAGCAGCCTCCAAACAATAAAATATGATAATTACAAATTGATACAGGACTAAGTGGACGGTCAGGATCTATCGTGGGAATGAGCGGCTGAGATTAAAGGACTGTCACAAGCATATTAAGTAATCGAAGAGAAAGAAAGAGAAATCATCAGAAAAGTTGTTACGCATTTTTTTTTTCTTCCCTTTCGTGAATTTCTTTGTAATTCTCTCGAGGATCTTAGTTTGCATTTGAGATTCTTGAGGTTTGTTCAGAATTCTTTGTTTCTATGAACATTGGATTCGATTTCTGAATAAAATCATCATTCATTTTAGTTACATTTTGTGCGTAACAAAGGTATCAGACGTCCAACAATTCTCGGAAGCGATGGCAGTGGAAACACGATCTCAGGCAACGACGAGTGACGACGATCAATCGATTAACTCGCGGTTAGAGCAGATCCTTCGATGTCAACAAACATTGGAGACCAGAGTCACCGATCAAAACGCGACGATCAACGAACAGAATGCGACTCTCGCGAAAATCACTGCAGATCTATTCGAAGCAATTCCATTAATCTCGATGTAGAGACCTACTTCGCCGGCTCAAGCGCAATCTAATCCTATTTATATCAACGAGCAAGGCCAAACCTCTAGATCCGGTAACCCTATGAACTATGCTGGAATCACTAGACTAGCGAAACTGGATTTCCAGAGGTTTAATGGCGCTAGGTTGAAGGATTGGTTGTTTAAAGTAGAGCAATTCTTTACTATAGACCTTACAACAGATGATCTAAAAATCTCTATAGCATCAATTCACTTTGATGACATTGCGGCAACTTGGCACCAATCGCTAGTTCAGGATGAGAGTGGAACTCTGAATCTTCAGGATTGGAATAGTTATAAGCTGCTGCTAACTGAGAGATTTGGTGATGTGTGAGATAATCTTGTTGCTGAGCTGAAAAAGTTAAGGGAAACTGATGGCATTATGGATTATCACAATAAGTTTGAGCTGATATGAACACGTGTGAAGTTGTCAGAAGCTTACTTAGTCAGCAACTACTTAGCCGGACTACGCACTGATACTCAGATGCATGTGCGCATATTCCAGCCTCAAACTGTCAGACAGTGTTTAATGTTGGGAAGGCTGTACGAGATGGCTCATCCACAAAAGAGCACGGGGTCAACTTGGTCTAATACTAAGAATCCTAAAGCGGGCAAAGGGATTTTAGCGACGCCAATGGAACCGGATACTAAGTGGCGTAAACCAGCTCTAGTTGACAAAGCCAACGAGCAGGGATTACAACCGAAACCGTTTTTATCACCAGAGGAGATGAATGATAGACGGTCTAAAGGCTTATGTTACTACTGTGACGAAAAATACACTCCTGATCACTACAAAGTGTATAAGAAGACTCAATTCTATGTCATGGAAGTGGATGAAAACACTGAGGTTGAGGAAGAGATGGAGGAAGTAATAGAACCTACTGGTGAAATAGTACAAATCTCTGTAAGTGCTATCTCCGGGGTCCCAGAGTTCAACACAATGAAAGTCAAAAGCATTCATAAGAAGAGATCTCTGTTTATGCTGGTTGATACGGGGTCAACACGCAATTTTTTGGATCCGGCAATAGCTGCAAAATTGGGTTGTGAGATGCGTAGTGGGGGTAATGCTAGAGTGCGCGTGGCAGATGGCAACCGGTTGGATGTGTAAGCTAAAGTGGATCAGTTTCAGTCGGACTTTCAAGGCGCTAGTTTTACATAAGACATTATGGTCATACCGTTGAAAGGCTGTGATATACTTCTGGGAGTTCAGTGGCACACACATCTCTGAGGGCACTGCAATGGAGAAATGTCGGGTGGAGTATGGCAGCAAGATGCGGCTTCTCTGTAGCATTACCGGAAGCAAACGTTTTAGAGTCGAAGGGAGAGGTTTGTGGGAGTTTGGTCTTGAGCTTTTCACCACGCGTCTCTGCTTGGCCTCTCAAGTTCGTGACAAGGTTACTGCCTACGTTCTAGGAATGATTAGAGATCAAAGGTAACATAATGATTAGAGATTAGGGTTGGATATATATTATATCTATACTCAGTCCTTTTTGTCTTTTTCGTTTGCTCATTACCAGATCAGGCAAGTCTGTTGACATAAGTCAGATGAAAAGAGTTATGGATATGTTTAAAGGGGGGCCTTTCTACAAGTCTCGCATCTTTGAGAAAACTTTTCTTGAAGATGCCTACGTCGTCGTATTGCTGACCGGAGCCAGCTGCTTTCATCAATGTAACGGCTCGCAATGGCTCTCTTCGTTTCTCAACTCTCATCTTCAATCCAGCATTCTCTCCATTTTCAATGCCACTCAATTCCATCACCACTATGTCATGCAGCGCAGGAAGAGCCACCATCAGCTGCGATTCCGGTCCCAACGCCACCTGTTCCTCCGAATCGCCGGCAGTCCAATCCAAATCTCTCTGGAAAACTAATTCCAGATCCTCTGCCGCAGACGGAGAAGATGACGTAGATGAAACCGGCGATGGAGATCCCATCGGATTCATCGACGGCATTCTCAATACTCCATTGGGTGTGAATCGATTTAAAGTACATGATTCAGCTTCAATTGAGCGTGAATTGATCTCATCATCAACTCAACATCGTCATTGCATTGGATAGGGGTTTTAAAGATGAAAACTTTAAAGATTGAGATTTGGAATGAATGTTGATTAAACCGAGGGAGGAATCAATTTATTGTTTAGATTGTTTAGTGGAAATAGCAAAAATGAAGCGATAGAGATAATTAAATCATGAGGGGTGATTTCGACTTATCATCTCATCAAAATCCACCTCTCTCCCAAAGTACCTTTAATTGTAATTATAAACTCTTAAAGTGCCTTCCAGCATAATAATCTATATAATATTTTATTTTAAATATAATATTAAAATAATTTTGTAATTTCTAACTATGGTAATATGTAAATATTATTTGAATTAACCTATTCATTTTTATTTATATTTTAAATGTTATTTTGATTTATTTTATACTAAATTTTTTCTCAAAACTTTTTTCTTAAATTTATAGAGAAGAAAAAGTTTTTTCATCATTTTTTAAACACTACTAATTTCTTTCAATTGCGTTAATTTTTTATGATAATTTTATATTATTCTATGTATATCTTTTAACAAATTTTAGTGTTAATTTTATATTTATTAGTAAGTAATTAGAATTAAAAAAAATTGATGAAAAAACTATTATATGTTAAATTGAAATTGATTTTATATGCTTGTCCGTTATATGATAACTTACATATATATCTTCAAAAGTTGTGTTTATCAAAATTGACTTACGTATACCCTCGTGTTTATTAAAATTTATATTCCATCGTGAATTATCTTATATATGGATATACATATGAGAATTAAATTTAGTAACAAACTCTGCTTGATTTCCTAATTAAAATGTTAACCAAAAAAAAAAAAGTATAGTTCTTTCCACAGTTTCATTTCTATGTTGATCTCCTTTCTTAGCCATTTC